AACGGCCAAAAACATACAAAATTGATGCATGTAAAAGGAGAAAAAAAGGAAAACAAAAGCTTAAAAAGTAATACGGTAGATTCACACTTGAGGTGGTTCAATTAATGCCCGTGATTTGTTCTAATCGGTGAAGAAAAGGAATCCGATCTTTTAAAGCGTCTTTCCATTTCAGATGAATTACGGTAATAACGAAGCAAAAATACTAAGAAAAAATGAATAATGAAAAATATCTTTCTCGGAGGTTTCCATACTGTTCTTCTTTATACTGTACATATTAAAACGTGAAGAATATGAACCCATCATTAGATTGCGCAGTAAGAATGCAATATTTTCGTTGCAAATTCTACATGGAGTGACTTTTTCCGACAGAAGTTTTTATATGAGTGCCAGCAACAATTTGAAAAATCCTATTTATTAAAACGTATTTCCTTGCAAAATATTGTCTTGAGATTTCTCACCTCCGCAGCACAAATAAAATCAACTCCAAAACGATTAACTTTAAAAATATGCTGGCAACACAAAATTTGTGAGAAACTGTGTGATATATACTGTATATTAGAATGCAATAATCATGTTATTTAAATGGAGAATTTTGTTGTTGAAAATATTCAAATCTAAATAAACAGCCGAAGTCATTGTAACTCAAATACTGTAAATGAAAAAACAGGACTTGGAAGTTATATCAAAATACTTTGTTAAAAAGTGGGAACAATCACGCCCCCATCATAGACTGTATTCATATCCATAATGCTGATCGTATTGCGTCAAAATATGGGTCCCCTATCCATTGACCAGCACAACGAGAAAGTGAATGCCACTCCCATGTATGCATGCATGCAGTCACTTCATTCAGTTTCGTAACAACATTCAACCACTCCAAGCACAAAATAAAAAAGAAAGAAAAAATTGGCGAGCTTTGTATTCAAGCCAATCAGTGCCAAATATTGTAATTAAGGCCGCGTAGTGTTCATTAAAATTTGTCAGCATGTTTGACTGCATGATTCTGGTATCAATTCTTCACACCTACGCCGCCATCAGGAATGACTTCGGTAAGAGCATTTTTTCGAATCCAAAAATCAATTTTATTTTTTAACCACTTATAGTTACTAAGAAAGTTTCCATTTATTTTTAAAAATAAATACTGTACGCAAGATGAGTATGACTCTACACTTCGAAAATAAATCTTCCTGGCCTCACATTACAGGAGTACACTTTTCCTTTTCATGACATGGTTGCATCAGTTGATTTGAGATCCTCATACACCTTGGAATTTTATAAATCTTTTTCGTTTTAAATTCTAATAATTTATTTTACAAATATATTTGTTTATTACTTCCTTGAAATGGTTGCTGGGCGCTTTATATTGGGAAGTGCAGGCCAAGAAAGTCTGATCATATAATTTCTTACAGAAGATTTCAATGTGTAGATGCAGGTGGACTCTCTCTAAAACGACCTTGCCCACAACAAATTTCCTTGTACAGTATTTAATTTTTTTTGGGTCCTTAAGCGCATAAGGCTCTTTTCCCATATTAAAAGGAGTTCTCTACAGCGAAATGATCTGTATACAAATCTTTTTCTGAACCCTTAAATTTTGTTGTAGAGAGCATCCATCTGTTATTTCCCATGTGACATTGTCTTTAATGGCTTATATATTTCTTAGAGTTCAATTCCTTTTGGATTTAGTTAGGAAATGTCAAGTTTCCCATGCAGGTATAGCCAAGGAGCCATTCTAGAAACTTTTGAATTGAGAACCTCTGCTCTATAGCCTTAATCATCATAAAATATTGTTTTAATGACTACTGTACACTGCTTTCAAAAATCTGTATACTGTGTATTGTCAAAGATGTAGTACACTTGAGCCTTGATAAGTCCAACCTCCCTAAGCCAAATACATCCCTAGGTTTAAATTTTTTCAAGTCTCCTTTCTGAATTCTCTTTAAAAAAAAAAAAGATTAGAAACCTCCCTAACTCAGTGTTTTTTTCTCAATTCCTCCTTAGGTCAAATTTTCCGCAGCCTTTTGGCTATTATTTCCTAGATACAGTTCATGAAAGAAAAAAGCAATAAATAAGCAAGTAACTTAATGTGTTTTGAAAGGAATAAGTGACATACTAATTGGGAAAATGAACCCCTGCCTTCAAGTTCAGCATGATTTACACTCATTTAAGAAGTATTTTCTAAGGCCCAGAGAATATCACCATTTACATTTTCCTGCAATTGTTTCATGCTTCCCACAAAGAATTCTCGTTTCCCTAACTACTGTAGAAGCCTCCCTAAATGGAAACTTCCCTAAGTCACATTTGTTCATGGCCCCTTGAAATTCGACTTACAGAGGCAGTTCAACCCCAAATTCAACATCTTTGACTTTCCTATCCATTATTGAAGGCGAGACCACGGAACAAAGTCAGCAAATTTTCTCGCCATTCCCCCGGGAATTCGGCGAGCTGGGTTCACTGCGACCCGACATTCTACCTCATCAGCAGGATGACTTCATCAGAGACATCGTGTTCGGGGACCCAGTCTTGCAGCTCGAACCCCCGGGTCACGGTGGGTTGCAGCACCCACGTGAGGAACTGTTTCTCAATAACTTCCTGGGACAACCGCCTGTATCTCCTTTAAGACTCGCGAATCCCAGGTTCCAGGAACCCAGCATAAACCCCGGCGGGAACCCGATCATCCCTCGTCGGATCGGGAGCAAGACGGATCCCTGGATCTGGGATAACGGCCGGCAAGACAACGGAGAAAGATCTTCGAGTATCGCGGATTTGCAGAGGAATCCACACAGGAAGCCCCTCGAGGATCGTCTCAATGATAACCAAGGCAGCACACGCAGCAAGGTTCATTACATTCAGCCCCGCTCTTCGAGGGCTCTTGTCACGTCATCATTCCAGGTGAGAATAAAAAAAAACGGGCCAGTGACATCTCAGACCCACACGGACGACGAACGTAAATACCTACTCAACGACAACAAAAAACCCAATACTGTACTTGAAAGAATATACGAACAGTTTTTGAACTAAAAATTGCTGACGGTGAATGTCTGAAATTTTGAATGCAGATTCAGATTCACACAGCACATAACCGAACGACTCAACTTCACACCGCTTTTCGGAACGTATACCGTGTTAAGATTCATTGTATGATGGGTCACTGCTCTCCAATCAGTGGCACATTTTCTGAAGTGTTGCCGTACTTAAAGATAGAATAGGAAGTGTGGATTGCACATTTTTAACACGCAAGTCTAAGAGGGGCTTCCATATCAAATTCAACGAAGACCACAAATCCTCAAAAGCGATTTTTAATTTAAACTTTCCCACAGAAAGCGTGTAGTGCAGCTTCAATACATGAATTATTCTCTGGTTCACCTCATACGGGTACCGTTTAAAATCCATCATCCTGAGGTTATTGTCTGCAGGTCATCTTCCTTGTAATTAAGAATGTCGTGGACAATGAATAAAGCATGCGTCGGCTTAAATAAATTTATGTTTAGACCCCTTTTTCTCACTTATTCAACAAATGTCATCAACAGGTGAATGATTATTCAATCCAAAATGAAACGACCGCAAAAGAGCACACGGAATCGAATATTACATCGCAAGAAAAAATGCATCAACGAGGCAACAATATCTATGACCCCATCGTCATCTACGGTACACTCAAGAAATCATTGGAAACAAGTGAACATGCAGCCTATCGCAGCAGCGAGAGAAAGAAATCTCCGAATTTGTCGGGAAATCCAGCCCGGAAAATTCACGCTATCTCTAGATCCGCGCGACAATTGTCAAGTGAATTTGAAACTTCGTCAACCACCAGTTTTCCTACAACAGATTCAACAACTACACAACTTGACTCTTCAAGCATCGCGGATAACTTATTGGAACCCGTCATCGTATACGGAAAACCCGCAGAAGAATTCGGAGTCACAGTATCAACTTCCTCAGATGAATCTAGCGAATCTGAACTCACCGAAACTTCCTCGACTCACACACCAGTCATTCAGACTGTGTCATCGACTGTCGCCAGCACAGCAGAAGAAATCTCGCTTTCCCCATCATCAAACGAGACAATAGAGAACAACACTTTTCCTACGCCAAATCTGGATGATTGGATGCCCATGAACACCCCGAATTTTCCAATTGAACTCATGGACACGTTCATCGGATCCGCGTTGGCCATTGCGGCAAATATCGGGGAATGGATGAGCAGTCAAATCCCAGTCAGGTTGAGTCCTTGTTGCGAAGGAGCGGAAACCGAATGGACACAAGTCACCAGCACTCCGACAAACCCCCCTGAACAGGTTAATGCCACAGGCGATGATCCCTTTCAGGAGCTTGACTGGCTGCCAAATGAAGCAAGGCTCAGATATTCTCATCAGCACTTTGATCCTTCAAACTCAGTGCCGTTCTTTGAACGAGAGAGAGAACCTCGATCACCAGGAAATCCGTGAGGGACTGTGAATAATCAGACGTAAAAAATAAAAAAATGCGGTTCTCGAGCGGAAAGCGCAGTCATTTTTTTTTAATGCAAAACAATAATTAAATTTTTTTTTTTCGCTGTGGGGATCTTTAAACTGAACTACTTCCACCTCAAGTTACGTTCCAAAAATGTTTTCGTCGCACGAGATGGTAGAATAAGATAAACTCAGGCCTCATTATCCATGTTCTTAGCAACACTGCATCTGATTAACGAAGCCATCACCTTTAATCTGAAAACATGTTTGCAGCAGGACCCACCACCACCTTCCGAATTTTTAAGTTCATGATACTGTCTTTTCATAGTTGAGTGCATCTGGTAAACGTATTTCTTTTCATTATTGAAGTAGGGTAGCTGATATGGCACGTAGTTATGAAGGAAAATTCCATTCGTGTTTTATGTTACCTTATCAATTATTTAAGCGACGAATATAATAATTATCTCGGGAAACCAAGGTTCAATTACAACACTGTATAAAATCACATAATTCAAGGGTGAATACAATGAATTAAAAAAAACCATGTCAGACTCATATGAAACAGGAATTCCATTTTCAACAGACTATTGACAATGAATGTCAGCATAAAGAAATCAACACGCCCCCAGAACGAACGTCTATCATAAGAGTAAGCTGAGGATTTTAGAAATGCAGAAATAGCCAAGTAACGACACTGCGGCAAAGCGAAGAGAGGGCAAATTGTTGAGGATATGGAATTCGTCGAACTCGCGATCAGAATTTAAACTTGTATTTCTTGGCTTGTTTGCCAGGAGGCTCTTGCTTTTCTTGTTGCCGCTTCCGTTTCGTCTGAAAAGTAAAGAAATATTTCCGACCAACAATGTAGAAATCTTTCCACATCCAATATACAGGAATGCTACTGTAAATTGAAACCACTGTAAAGCGCACCCTAATTTTGGACTGCGATTTTGAGAAAGTGAATTTAAAAGAACTCGATTGTAAAGCGTAACGAATTCTGCAGAAATTACACACATGCGGAGTGTAAACCGAAAAAAATGTTCCCTTTTTTGATGAAGTACGTCATGCAGTCAAGGCCGAAGCCTGAGGACAAAAATAGCCACCTGAATTCTGAGAGACTTTCAAGGGATGAACAGCAGAAAATCTGTACAGGAGATTTTTACGTTATCAATGAGACACCCAAGGTTAATTCCTCTCAACAAGAATGTTGAGAAGTTCGCATTAGCCGCACATAAATTCCTGCAATAAGGCCTACACTGTACTCAAATATGCTCCATCGAACGTCTATGATTGCGGAAATATGAGTACAGTAATCAGCTTTTACCTTCTGTCGTGCGGCGTGTTCGGCAACCATGTCTGATAAATCTTCCTGCCCTGGAACACCTAAGCCCGCGGCCTGACGTCTCCGCAACTGTTCATCATATTTCGCCTTCATGGCGTCGGCCGTATCGACCAGGTCCAATTCCGAAGGGTCCAAGGCAACTTCAACACCATCAGCTCCACCAGCTGGCACAGTTCCGGCACCAGTGGCCGCCGTCACGTCGTACACGTGCGCAGAACCCATCATACCAGCTCGTCCGATCATCCCGTCCATCCTCTTCTCGGGTAGTACTTGAAACAACGGCTGGGGTTCGGACCTTGAAACAAAATAAATGAATTAAATTCACCCGCATTGCTCTCATAACTTTGCGTTGTTCACAGAGAGAGGAATTCAGAACTCGAAGTAAATTTACATGTTAACTCCTTCTGAAGGAATTTCTTGGGCCCTGGCGTTCTTCTATTGGTGTAGTGTAGATGCATCTTACTTTACACTAATACGGTACTGTATTTCTTTCCAAATTTTAATTTTCTCTTGGTTCTCTCATTCAGTATCTCCTTCGAAGAATATCAGTTGTTTCAATTTTCCAAAACAGACCTTAGATCCACCAAAAATTTAAATTTCACTCTTCGATGAAAAAAAAGTTCTCCATGAGAAATCCACAACAGGATCTCGCTATTATATGGTACGGTATAACTGTACTGCAGTTACTGTACTGCTAATGCAGTACAGTAATATAAATCCATTTACTGTACCTATCTTCCATTTCGGTTTCAATGCGTCTTTTACGAAGCTCGATCATATCCGGGGTATCTAATCCAGCGGGAACAGAAGTAATGCCCGAGGGCGTCGCGAAGCCTCCTGGCGTCATCAACCCAGTCATATCTTCGTCTTCGGCCCTTCCGTCCTGTTCAAGCTCCGCCTCTTCCTCTTCTTCTTCCTCCTCCTCCTCTTCCTCTTCTTCACTTTCCTCTTCTTCGGATTCTAGCTCACCCCACAAATTCTTCTCCATATCCGTCGGCTCCAGATTAACCTAGAATTTCGAATGAATATTTTAAGTTATAAGATTTTAAAAAATCAGATAGAAGATCCTCGTTCCCACACACTGGAAGAATCGCAAACCTGTCGAGCTTTAACCAAAATGCGTTCGTGAATTTTGTACCAACGTCGGCTGTTTTAGAGCAGCATGTGAAAAATGTTCTTACTTCTTTGTTTCATTTGCAGTATTGTATGGTATCCAACTCTTCACTCAAGTCTATTTCGACAGGTTCGAATCTTCTGCTCAGGAAGCTACTGAAGACTAAGCAATGAAGGAAGCGAACAGTACAGTACTTTATACGGCATCTCTACACCCTAACTGATGCAAAAAAATAACCTCTCCCATCAAGAAGATACTCGTCTTTTTCAATTTTATGCTCTGGACTGCAGTGCGAAGCTCACTGAGCAGGGCTATTTTTATTTCTTGCTCCCAAGACATCTTCGCCAACTTTAAAGTTATTCCCGGTAAAAGAAAAAGGGATGCAAAAATAAGTAGCTATGGATATGCGGGTAAACGAAGGAAAAAAGGAGAAATAAACGTGAAAAATTACAGCACTGTACATCTAAAGCGAAGAAAAAAATGTTCTACGTTCGTCGAACCTCTTGATCGTGATGATACGTTCCGAACACATCTCCGTAAAGCGGTTTCCCCATATGATCGACTGGCGGTTTTCCCCAACCACCAGCGTGATATCCGAACGAGCATCCATCGGGGATCGGTGCGTTCAAACCCGGGATTTTCAAATTCGGATACGAAGGCGGAGGTCCGTAACGTTGCATAGCAATGAGCCACGGTGGAGGAATTTTGTGGGAGTTCGTTCCAACCGGCATTCCGAGAGCAGTTCGCAAATCATCCGACAATTCTCCCGGCTTCTTCGCCTTCAGCTTCGTCTCGAACTCTTTCCCCTCGTAATAGAGGTCGCCATGAATCGTCATCCTGGGTTTGCTTTGCCACCTGATGAATTCGAACAATGAAAAAAAAATGTTTTGAAATAAATAAATAAATAAAATCCTGAAAGCTCATTTATTGGAAATTCTGCCTTTCACTCCACGTTTGCTCTAGTATTTTCGATGAAGTTTCTTCAATACACACGCTCCGACGTCTTCACGCTTGAACGCACGCGATGATCGTCCATTTCAACATAGATGACGCGCAAATTTCTAGCTTGTTACGTCAAAAGTACGTCACATCATTGTTTTTCAGTATAGATGACGCATATCAAGGTCAGTTAACGAAATTTTTTGCTGAAGTAAATTAGATGGGCGATTCAAAAAACAATTGCCTGTCATTTCAGACAGCGAAGTTGTGAGGAAATCAACGGAAGAGATTCCGTATTTTTTAAATAAATGCTATACGCCAAACAAAATTCGCGTATTTCTTCAGAGAATAAATGCAATTTCAATATGTTATTGAAATTGCATTAAGTTGCACCTCAACTCATGAGCTGTTTATTTATTTACATTTGCAACACATGACACGCTTGAATCAATTCATATTATATTTAGTTGGGTCAACTCAGGCTATTTATCGTTCTGTTGGGTTCTTCCGGTAGGATTAGTGTCGTAGCCTACATTTGTCCCGACACTTCAGGAAAGAAGATTAAAAATAAAACATAACTCATTTTTCTCAACCAAATATCGAAGAACGCGGCATTCAACCCATGGAACTCACTTGAAGAACGCGTCGTGCAGTTTTTGATAGTCAATATCAATCTTCCCGAGCTTCGGTCGCACCTTCTCGCGCATTTTACTCTTAAGCGTTTTCTGTTCCTCCTTTTCATGCAAAGCTGCCCTCATTTCTTGGATACCAGTCCGACGAATGAATTCGGGCAATTCGAAAGGCGGCTTTTCAAAACCACGCTTTCCCTGCAAATATTTCCGCTTGAAGCACCAGTGCCGAGGCACAGGTACAGTGTTTCGGGCCGCTTTCAAGAAAACGAGAGTCGTCGGGTCCTTGGCGGTTACATCGTGCATTTCCACGACGTCCGGACGATTCACGCGCTGCTTCAAGTCGGCAATCGACATGCGAGTGAGAATCTTCTGCTTTCTCTTGGACATCTTGGGTTTGTCATCTTTCTGCAAAATGGAACGAACGTATTAAGGTGAATCCAATGAAGGCCAAGACATTTCAACAGGATCGACAATGATTAGCTATGATTCCCCGTTTGTTACGTCTTTTCTTGCACTATACTTAACCTCGATTTTCCAACTGATTCACGACATAGGAACCGTAATAATTGCAAATCTTTGACATGAACAGGAAAGACGCGCGTTTTCAGCAAAATTCTCGCGGCATGAATGAACAAGCTGAACTGGGTTCTTACCGGTATCACCCCTATCCTGAATTCGCCGAATTTTCCTCTGAACAGGTTTTTATTTTCCAAAGAAATTTTTAAAGATTGCATCAATTTCAAAAACTTAAACACCAAAATTCAAAGAATGAACATCAACGATGTCCAAAAAGTGACTTTGCAATGGAAAACTCAACGCTGCCGCCGAAAAGATTATCAAGAATGAGGAGAATGTACATCGTAATTTTATATTCCCGAGATAGTCAGAAGCAGAAGGGATATGGCATGAGTCTGAAATTGAATTGAAAATGCAACTGTGAATTTCAGTGATATGTACTCGCACAAATGATTCTGTACTTGTATTGAATGAAAGAAGTGGTGAAATCTCTTGCATAGGTGTATCTTCTGAAGGACATCTTCGACGACGCAGATTACAACAAAGATGGCCGAATCGATGTCACCGACCTATCCTACATATTCGAGAAGTGGGGATTCCCCATAGAGCTAAAGCATTCCGCAGAACTTATTCGCAGGACGGAAATGAACGGAGGCAATACACTAATCTTCTCCGATTTTATGACTCTCTGGAGAAACATACATGAAGGCGACGTGCCTGCATCCATGCGCAATCAGCTGCTGAGAACAGTTGAAGTATTGGGAATTAGACCTAATGGAGAGCAATCGACTAAACTCAGATTCGCCGGAGCAAAAGGCTTTTTCGAGCAAAACACGCGAATGCCAATTCACCAACAGCAGAGTCCGGAGAAAGAAGAAACATTAAAAGCCAGATTTTGCGCCAACACAACTCGTGGACGCAACAGCGGAGAAAAAGATCCGCGATGGAACGAGTACTACGGATGATTCCTTTTTTCTCTTTGGAATTGAAATTGTAACGAAAATTGTCATCGGATTTATTCCCCGAAGCACTGTAGTAAGGATTTAATCATGCGTGGTTTCATTCGCGATCTCACAAAACGCTCTTTTCACGTGTTTAAACTTCCTATTGAACTTGATTACAGTGGAGTACTCCCTTCCATCACTTTTCCTGCCTAGAGTTCTTACGAGCGTCCGCTTTACCGGAGAATCAACTTCTAGATGAATATTTCATTTCCTCGACGAGGTTTTTCTTCTCATTTTCCTGCTTTAAGAAATTCTTCAAATTTTTGACACGTTCAAAATACGAGAAAATGAATTCCCCTTGTTGATGCAATTTCTTATAATTCCTGAGCTTGACACGTTAGCGAAAGACCAGATTTAATCATCGACGCACTCAAGATCTTTCTCGACACGTACTGCAAAGAAACCACTCCAAAAATGAAAGCGGAACAGTCTTTTTTGCGATAAATTCATCTACACACGAAATCACGGCGATCTCTGAAACATCGAAGACCAACTTCGACTCGATCAACCAATATATCTATACAGGTATATGCATTATTAATTTTTGGAAAGGTAAGACAAAAAGGTTAAATTGAAGTGCAGTAGTAAGAATAGGGACTCGCCTTCTCTTCCTCTAAATCATCGGCCTCCAGTTCTTTGGGGACTTTCCGGAGGTTTACTTCGGGCTTCGGCGCTTCTTCAGCTTTCGCTTCATTAGGATCCACGATTCGAAACGCTTCAAAGATAGTAGCGAATTGAGAATAGAGCGGATCCGTAAGCTCCAAATCCAACTTTTCCTGAACATATTCCACTTCAACGTCGGTTACATCAGAGTCTTCGCTTGGCTTATCCTTCGATGCTTCCGCATTAGCTGGAAGACGCTGCTTCTTCCTCTTCTTCTTTTTCTTCTTCTTGATGGCCTTCGCGGACTTCTTCTCGGATTGCTTGTCTGCTTCGTAGTCGTCTTCGTCGTCGCCATCAGAAGGGACGCCGGAATCTCGATCTTCTCTTCGAACGCTTCCACTGGCATCGCTTTCACCATCGTCCCCAATTTCCTTCTCACGTTCCGACTTGAAAGCCAGAACTTGCTCGAGAGCCTGAGGAAGCCGATATTCGTTTTCTTCTCCTGGAGGCATATCATCAATCCCACCACGGCTCGCAGCGACAAGTTCTGCAGAAGTCTGAAAATACGAGAGGATGACGTAACGAACGTCACGTGTAATGAATTTTCCATCACCGGAATCGGAAGTGCCACTGTTTTTGTTTTTTGTTTGCGCATTGGACTCTAAGTTACGGGGATGAACTACATAAAAAGCGCTATTTCTAGAACAATATGATGAAAATAGCTATGAGAAATTCGGCTGCCAGCACGATTTTTGCACAGAAATACTCTTATCGCACTCTTGATTGCGTTCACGTTGTTTTTCTGGCTTCTGCTGCGTGTTTCTGCCGTTCTGTTTTTCTTATTAAGCTTAATACAGGATTATGTAAGAATTAATCAAAGAATTTCATCAAGAAATTTCAAGTGAAATGGATTTGATCAGTTACAGTATTCATACATTGTAGTATCTTCTTTAAATAGTTAAATTAGTCGGTCAATGGATGGGCTGGAGGTGGAGCAAATGAAGTCTCAAGTATAAACCGAGGTAAATGACCACAGTACGCATCATACGAACTACCCGATAAGTTTCGCGTTTGAAAATCACCTCATTTGAGCCAAAGAATATCGAAGAAGAATTAGAACTAATACGTAAATTGACGTTATTTTTCTATGTTCGATTTTCTCCCACGGGATATTATTCTTGTAAGCAATATAACTGCCGAATAACTCGGAAAAAATTCTTTGAGTACAATTTTTATCTCAGAGATTTTCATGTTGAACCGTCAATTTTCTGTATTTATTTAGGCTTTGGCAGACTTATTTTCAATGGCAGAATGATGCAATGGTTGATGGTACAGGTGGGCTCTCTCTACAAGAATTTTCTCTGCATAGCGATTTTTTGTGGTCACATAGGCGTACCTACGAATATTATAAGGGGTTTTTACAACGAGATTCTCTCTACACTGATTTTTCTGGTCGCCTGTATTTCATTTTAGAGAGAGTCCATGAGTATATGATAGATCATCAGGACAAATTTGATAATAGCTCATCAATATGCCAACAGTGTGCGAAAAAAAGACGTTACTTTTTAATCGAAGTTCTGAAAGAGCATGCAGTTTTCTAATTGTATGATAACAATACTACGATTAACTACCAGAATATTTTTGATCACGTTACGTCATGAAAAAATTCCTCACCTGTGGACGGGCACGAATGATGGCCTTCCGCGAAACGCGGATATCATCTTGTTCCTCAACGTCCATGGTTCACTCAAACGCGATCAGACGATTCGAAAAACTGACCTTTCTGAAATGGAGAAAATTCCATTAAACGCTCCTTCCAATAATCGATTTAAATAGTTCTAGAAAAAGAAACCAAAACTTTAATACCCAACTTCCATGTAACAATAGTGTGCGACAATTTTAGTAATCTTCCACCCAAGGAACATTTCGAGTTATTTGGCTCCATTACGACAGCTTTCGTCAAAAAATCATAAGATGAAAGGTATCACAGCTTTTCGGTCCCTAGGATAATTAGGAATCTTCTCAAGATAGAACTGGTGATGATCCAGACCACGCTTTGTCAACATACAGGTTGTGAAAAACGCGAAGGCGCACCCAGGAAGACCGCTCATGGCCAGTGCATAACCCCACCATTCGACTATTTCTCCAAAATAATTTGCGGCAGAAACAAACTGAAACAATCCCCCGTAAGGAATTTTGTAACCGCCTTCCGAATCATTTTTGCGCAACGACCTTAAAACGTGATCTGAATGCAAGTTGATCGCCATCCCTAAAATAAATATTACAAATCCGCACAGATACGATAAACTCGTTAAACGCGGATCTTCATACGAGACTTCATTCAAAAGGTATCGAGCCTGAAGGTATCCGTTGAAAGCACAAAATGTGAATGCACTAATGACGACGCTCAGAGGAGAAGGTTTACCCGCTGTGATCAAGACAGGATACACGAATGAACTATAAAACGAGAAAATCGGATATCATAAATCATGAACTGGACAAGATCATTTATCTAGAAAGCGGTTTCCGCCCATTTACTCCTGCTTTTTCGTTAAGGAATGAGAGAGGCGGGACTAAGTTTACAGGAAGCTGGGAACTTTCACCGCCCGGAAATTACTCTAATTAGAAAAAAAATTCGTACAAAAGAATATTAAACCGAAGCTAATAAAATCTCCAAGTCAAGTCCTCATTGTGCGTCAGGTTACATCTCAGCCTAATGTATCATCTAGACTTCTAGAGTACAGGGAAAATATTTGGATCAGCAGCAGTGAAGTAGCGAAGTGACGGAAACAGATTTGGACCACAACTTTCCGTCTCACATAATGAACACGACTTACTGCCTATGCTAAACAAGTCGCGCTAATATTCTGAGATGGAAAAATATAATTTCTCACAAGCCTTCCAGAACAACCCAGGAATATTGAAATAATCTTGCATTAATCACAAAATGAACATCTGTCACGGTAGATTTTGGAGCGGTATTTGATTTTGCGGGAACTCTGAATTCATAAATTATCTCACATCGCGGATGCCCTCAACATTTACTGTACAGTACATTCTCATGAAATATTGTTAGCGTTCTCAACGATCTCTTGAATATAAGGAAAATTAATGTTATGTCAGAGTCGGGGAAAGATACGAGAAAAAAATAGAACTGAGCAGAACATGGTAGTGGAAACCGCTTTCTGAGACGAAAAATTATTTTCTCACCGCTGGAAGTAGTGGAGCATAAACAATAAGAGCACACAATCTGATGAGATCCAAGCAATTCCTTTCATCAATCTTAGCGCCAGAGGAATGAAAAACGCCGGAGACTCTTGCACGACCCAGGCCAACTTAACCGGCACAAAAAACCCGTACCCTTTCGTGGAATATCGCCCATAGGGATGTCTGTTCGGCCCCAGTAACACCCCTAGTCCACTTACAATGAGGATGCATGACATTGAAAACGAAATGTAACTCATTATAAAACCACGACGTCGACCTGATGGAAAAGGAAGACCAATTATTTCTTGGTCAACGCACGAAAAAAGAAAAGCATATAAAATCCTCTTAATTAAAGTCCAGGTCTGTTGAACGAAATTCGATATGTATTACGATCAGCGTCTACGTCGATAATGCTGAGTAGGAGTACTCGAATGCTGTTTCCCGTAGGATCCGTGGTTGTCGTTACACGGATACATCATTGGTTGTGGTGGGGGGTACCCGGGGTTCTCATAAGAATGCATAAACCCGTATTGGGGCTGTGGTCGGGAGGAATACGGCATTGATACAGGGCTAATACCCGACGGGCCCTCGCTACCACGAAACTGCCGCCCAGCCGTGGACTTCTCGTCATTATTGCGCCAGGGATTTCGTTTTGGATGATTATTCGGCGTGCGATTCTGTGACGCTCCTTGATTCTGGAAGAGATTGATTCTGCAGTTGAAATCGGTCTTGAAAATAAATCCCAAGATAAACTAACCTGCGCTTGTATTTGAGTGGTGTCAAGTACCAAGAGCTCACAATAAAGAGGTCGGTGAAAGAGCTTAATACCTTGCATCAAATGAATCGCATACAAAGACGATTCTTCAGCCGGAAAGTACACCAAGGCTACTTTTCCGTCTTCTTCGTCAAATAAGCTCACATCGACTACTGGGCCAGCCTGATCAGATTTCGTTCAGAATGAGATGAAATGTATGAAGCGTTAAGCCAATTGGGCACTTACCTGAGAAAAAAGCTCCCCAAGAAGAACCTTGTCGACAGCATATTCCAAATTGTGGACGACGACCGCAGAAAGATCGCTTATTTCGACATCAATAGAAACTCTAGCATTACGGTTTGGTCCACGTTTCGAATTCGATGACATTTTGAGAAAAATGCCTCTCTGCGATCAAGGGTGACTATGCAGATAAAATTTATCAAATGAACTGCGTTCACAGAACGCTTTCGCGACTCGTTTCCACTAATGTTTACAGCGAACGTGAGACCGCGGTTGAACAGTATCGGCTTTACATTTTTCGTCATTCAGAGTCAGAGCACAAAAATGTTACACCTTAGACGATCTCATGTTCAATACTGAACAAAGTTCGTACACTGGACGGTTCCAACGATTAAATTCACTATTCAGGATCAATTATTCGGAGCAAAGTAATCCCTGCGGAGTACGCACCTCTCTCTCCGCCAGCCAAACCTTCACCACAGCAGGCCAAACGACAACAAGCTTGCATGCTTGCATTTAAGGAGAATAGATTCCTTGAGGGAATGTCGCTGTAGATAGGTCCGTACGCCCTGAGGGCACAGTAGGTCGGATGGGTGGACAAGATTGGCCTTGAGGGCCTTCCTCCCTGGTCTCCTCTCCACCTTCGTCGTCCCTCGGCCAAACGTCACTTCGCTCCGAGATCTCGACTAGAGCACTTCTATCCTTTTTACTGTGTGACTTGTGACTATTCTAACCGGAACTCCCGGAAGGAGGGACCAGAGGAGAGGTGGAAGCAGCAGGGAGCCCCAAACGTCACTTCGCTCCGAGATCTCGACTAGAGCACTTCTATCCTTTTTACTGTGTGACTTGTGACTCTTTATGTTGTTGGTGAAATCAAATACGACTGTTTAAATTGTGACAAGAGGCCGAGGACATTTATTTCTGCACTAAAACCTTATTGGGGGCTCGTCCGGTCCGAACCCTGCAACCCCGATCGACTCTTGTTCACAACCGAATGGTGCGTACTACTGAGAACTCTAAAGCCGCTGCGTTGCCCTACGTTCCGCCAAACGCCGACCCAATGCACAACGCTGAAACCCCTGCGGAAGCTGCTCCGGGAAGTGCCCCGGCTCCGAAGCCCGCTCCGCTACCAGCGCCGCAGACGGGATGGGAATTGGTGCCAGTGCCGACGCTCAAGTATTTAATCCACGCATACGAGCTCGGCCAACCCGCCGGCGACGAACGACGGCACCTCATCGCTCTTCTTCAGCAGAACCTCATCCCCGCCACGCTCGCCCAGGGCTGGCTGCCACCACCGGGATGGCAATCTCAAGCAGGGCAGTCTCCACATGCTACGCCGTGGTCCTTCTTCCCCGCGCTCAGCGGCTCGGCATCACCGGCTACGCCTACGACTCCTCAGCTACCGCCCCTGCCAACACGGAATTCCGGTGAGCTACGACTTTCTGAACTACCCAAGCAGCGTGATGACGAACCGTTCGAGGATTACGCCGAGGGCCTACGTCGCATGCTGGCCATCGACAACGTCACCCTCGGCATGAAAGTTCGGTGTCTTCTCCACAATACCCTGCCCGACATCCAGGCATCAGCAGCGATCCTGTTCCGCAAAGGCCACGTCGAATTCGAGGCCCTAGCAACAGCGCTTGCTCGCGCTTATCCCACACCGCATCTGGACCGGTTGGACCAGTTCCGTCAAGCTCGACCCAAGTCCGGCGAGAGCTTCGTCAACTTTGGAGAACGGCTGGAACACTCGTTTGACCTGTTCACGGGAGCAACCCCCGACAAACCGCTGTCCGCCGCTGACATCCGCCAAAAAATGCTGATCGACCAACTCCTGACTGCCGTTTCGGAAGACCTGCGGGACGAGCTTCGTGAGAAATGGTCCGACGACAAAAACCTGTCTTGGGAGAAAGCCCTAGAGGAAGCTGAAAAATTCCGGCTCCACAAACACGCCACAGCAAAACCGGCTCCGAAGACCTCATCCGGGGGACGGCCGAACAATGCAAAGCAGCCTCCAGAAAACCGGCCCGACCTGCCTCCAAGACAATGGTGCGAGGGGCACCAACGCCACGTCCGACATTCTCCGCAGGATTGCCGTATCCTCCGTCGCCGTAACCGTAACGCGGCTTCCGGGGGGCAACAGACGACTCCGAAACCTGCTCAACCAGCCTCGCAACCTACAACATCTTCAACTGATCAGGCAAATGCTCTTATTTGTTTTCATTGTAACGCCTCGGGGCATATTAGTACTTACTGTCCTTTATTGAACCAGGGAAACTCCAAAAAGCCACAGTGAACGCGGCACACTGTGTAGCTGCTGCCTCCGCCGCTCCTCCTCCCATCTTCCTGGATCTTCAGCTCGGCGATCAATCCGTTCCGGCCTTACTCGACACGGGGGCCTCCCATGCCTTCGTCTCTCCACGGCTGGTAACGTCGCTGCGTCTGCAAACAACCCCCCTTAGTATGTCCGTACATACATCACTCACATCCTCCGCAGTTTCGGTCAGTCATTCCGTTTTGTTGTCATTCCGTTTTCGCGAAGCAGAGTATCATGTTCCGTTTTTAGTTTTGCCATCCCTAACCGAACCCGCGATTATTTTGGGCCGCACCGCGCTTTTACAGCTTCTGGTCACGCTGACCGTTGACGGCAAACGTTCTTTTGTGGGGTTCCAGCAAACCTCACGTAACCGGGCATCCCCAACGCTCGATATTGGGGAAGGTATTTAATTTGTAGACGGTTCTCAGGAGGAGCGCCTCCAGATCACCCGGATACTGTGCAAACACGCCGACGGCGTTCACCAGTGGTCCGGTCGGCGCGGGTTCTTTCCTGAACACATCGTCAAACTCACCGCAATCTTGAATGACATACCTGCAACCCGCTCTTTCAGACAATCAGCGGAAATGACGATCCCGTTCAACGCGCTGGTGGACGAGTACATTGCGGCCGGCATCATCGAACCGGCTGCCTCACCGTTCAACTCCCCAGCTTTTCTGACGTCCAAGCACTGCGACGACCCGCAAGCCCCCTACAATAAACAGTGGCGACTCGTCGAAAACTACCAAGCACTCAACGACACGCTCAGCGACGACCATTATCCGATGCCGATGATTCAGGACCTGTTGGACGCCCTCGGACGGCACAATGAGTACTTCTGTACTATCGACCTCCACTCGGCCTTCCACCACCTACCCATCGCGTACCCAGACCGCCAAAAAACGGCCTTCTGGACCCCCAGAGGCCAGATGCAGTATCGGGTGATGCCCTTCGGCCTCAAGAACGGACCAGCGGCGTTCCAGCAAGCGGTGAACTCCATCCTAAGAAAACATCTCTTCACAAGGTGCCTCGTTTACATGGACGACATTATTGTTTTTGGAGCAGATTTTGAACAGGTCCGCGATAATCTCGACCGAGTGCTGACGGATTTGACCGCGGCAGGAGCTGCCATCGACCTTCGGAAATCAACCTTTTTGGCAAAGCGCATCACCTTTCTCGGACATGAAGTCGACCAGACTGGTACCAGGCCACTCCAAAAGGACATGGACGCCGTCCGCAAGTTTCCGCGACCGGAGACCACGAGACAACTCCAACGATTCCTCGGTATGGCTACATATCTCCGCGCGCACTTACCCATGAATTTCGCAGAAGCCGAAAAAGCGCTCCGCCGCATCATCCCAGCGAAACCTCTGACGCATCTCGCCTGGGACACAGCGGCCGAACAGGCCTTCGCTAACATCAAGGACATACTCGCGGAATCGGCCCACTTGGAACGCATCGACCCGAAGCGACCAACCGAGGTACATTGCGACGCCTCGGCTACAAGCCTCGGAGCAATCCTCGTGCAGATCGACGAACAGGGACACCCCAGAGTGATCGAATATGCAAGCCGGGTCTTGTCTGACACTGAAACGCGGTACACGAATTCTGAAAGAGAGCTGCTGGCAATCATCTGGAGCGTGACACGTAAGTTTCGCCATTACTTAGAAATGCGGGACTTTACGGTTTATACCGATCACAAGGCACTATTGGGAGAGTTAAAAACAACCCGTCTCATATACATGAAGACTAAGCTTGCTCCCTTCAAGATGAAATTAGTGCATAAACCAGGCAAACTCCTCAAAGGACCAGACGCCCTCAGCCGGGTCTGCATCAACGCTGGCGACGCACGCGAAGTACCCAAACCAGAGGACATACCCAAGATCATTGACGAGTATCACGCTGAACTCGGCCACGCCGGATGGAAGAAGATCTACAAAACGCTTAACCTGCGGTACCACTGGCCCTCATTGCGACAAGACGTGTGGAAGCGGATCCAGGAGTGCAATCTGTGCTTCAAGTACAACATCCCCACAACCGTCACGGGCACCGAGCTGTCGCCGATCGTCGCCACCTACCCTCGGGAACGACTAACACTTGATTTTTACGGACCTCTCCCGACTTCAAAACTCGGAAACCGGTGTGCCATAGTTTGTGTGGATCACTTTAGCAAGTATATGACGGTAAAGCCCATTGTAGCCGCAGACGCCGCCACCGTTATTCCGTTTTTAGCAGAGCTTTTCAGACAACTAGGAACGTCCGACTACGTCCACACCGACTGCGACTCCGTGTTCCGTTCTCGCGCCTTTAAATGGTTTCTACGCGACGCCGGGGTGAAGCAGCACGTGGCCCACGCAGGGCACTCGGAGGGCAACGGGTGTTGCGAGCGTGCTATCCGCACACTCACGCAAATCCAAGCCAAAGCGGTTGACGGGCAATCAGACGAATGGGACCAGCACATTCAAACATCTGCCCTGGCCTATAACAATACAATACATTCATCAACGTCTCTCTCCCCTACAGAAGTTTTTTTCGGCAAACCCGTCAGACTCAAATCCGACGAGCAATTTGGGGTACAAGCCCCCCCCATCGAGGAACAATTGCTGGACATTCATCAGACGACGGAACAAGCACGACAGGCCTTTTGTCAAGCAGCGAACCGGAAGCTTCGACCCCTGTTCCAACCAGGAGACCTCGTCGCCATCAGACCCCGACTTCCCACGGTCCAGCAACACGCGGCCGACCGGCGCTTCCGGATCATGCAACTGGGACCCTACATCGTCATACGCAACCTCGGGCAGGGACAATACCTCGTCGGTGCTGGGAAAAACATCTGCTCAGCCAACGCGTGGGAAATGGTCCCAGCCAGCGGGCTCCCACGACCCCCCGACAGCGACCCCTCCGGTCACATGAAAATCGCCCCTATCGGAAAACTTAATCCAGCTTATCATGACACCGATTTTTTGTTCGCCGACCCCACGGCCGGGTGTGCTCCAGAATTGAATGTGTTACGCGAGCATGATTGTTTTTCCCCCGCGATTTCTACTTCCCCCATGGTGAAACCCGACCATACGTACGCGAGTGTACTGAAGCGCGGTCTAGCTTCCCGCGGTCGATAAATTTTTTTTGGGGGGGGAGAGTAAGGAACTCCCTTACAGCGACATCTATCCAGGCATGCGGGACTCCCGTGTCATCCAGCCTACCCACCTGTTCTAACCGGAACTCCCGGAAGGAGGGACCAGAGGAGAGGTGGAAGCAGCAGGGAGCCACTCTGCGATCAAGGGTGACTATGCAGATAAAATTTATCAAATGAACTGCGTTCACAGAACGCTTTCGCGACTCGTTTCCACTAATGTTTACAGCGAACGTGAGACCGCGGTTGAACAGTATCGGCTTCACATTTTTCGTCATTCAGAGTCAGAGCACAAAAATGTTACACCTTAGACGATCTCATGTTTAATACTGAACAAAGTTCGTACACTGGACGGTTCCAACGATTAAATTCACTATTCAGGATCAATTATTCGGAGCAAAGTAATCCCTGCAGAGTAGGCACCTCTCTCTCCGCCAGCCAAACCTTCACGACAGCAGGCCAAACGACAACAAGCTTGCATGCTTGCATTTAAGGAGAATGCAGATTCTAGCGGAGACCGGGAGGGTACCCGAACACCAGTACCATTAGTACAGTACAAATGAACAGAAGTTCTGTTTTTTCATAAAACTTGTATAGATGACGCTCCATCTCAGTTGAATAAAAGCCTTGGTATGTGGGCTGTTTCCGAGTACAGTACATTACTGTACTGTAAAAGCATATGCGGCGCGCTGATCTCTATACAGTACAGTACTGTACAGTAATAACATCACAGTACTGTACAGTATTAATACTTACGGTTGAAATGTGCCAACTACGCGAATCCCCTAATAGCGTCCTTCGCTCCTTGCTTTAGCTGGGTATGCGTAAGGGATGAAACGGTTACATAACTCAGAGTCATGTGAGGCGTTCCGATTTCATTCTATCGTTGCACAGACGAGAATAATGATCACGTACTTTGCACAGCTCGCTTATCTACGAGGTGGAAATCATAGTCTCTCTTTATCTTTTCGGTAATCTACGAAGTGGCTATGCTGATTTTCTAAGCTGCGAGTGCGATCAGCTTGTTTTCGTTATCTGTATTTAGGTTATCTATCCCTTGATTGTCAGTTCACTGAAGTGTGGTTTATGAGCCAACCTTTAGAAATTTGAGTTGCATTTTGATTTTTGAGGGAAGATCTGTGCAGAATCAAATCGCGGTGTCTATTGCCTGTGCGTTAATTTGGAAACCATGGTTCGAGTACTTTTCATGCAGATTAATCACGTGTGTTGTGCGATTGATTTGGGTGAATCAGCGTCGGGGCTCTATTTATTATTATTAATGAGGGATTTTTTATTCATACTTCGAATATTATTATCTGTGAATGATTCGGAACGATGTGCTAATATGCCTGCCACCTTTTCGGAAATTTTCTCATTCATTTCTCACTCAAATGTTTGAATTTCTTACTTTTTGCACTCTTCAGATTCTGTACATTCGTCGTTTATTTGAGAATTTCGGCGTTCAAGATATCCCGTTCTTCGATTCTTGAGTGTTACTCGAGCCATGATCTGGTAGAGCTTATCCGAAAGCCAAGACTATCGCTGAGCCTGTCGAAATGGACAAATTCTGTAATTCGTCGTTTATGGTAAGGATTTGAAAGATGCTGGTCGCGAAATTTTCTGAGCTGATCTTCCGTTTTATTTGTTTAGGATATTGACTTATCCTGGAACACGCAGGATCCGGATCTCACTCCATGCTTCCAAAAGACGGTGCTTGTGTGGGTGCCATGTATCTGGCTGTGGTTGCTTCTGCCCTTCGAAATTCATAGCTTGAAATTATCGCGAGGCCGATACATTCCCTGGACGTATCTCAACATGGCGAAGATTTTTGTTTCTTTGGCCCTTTCGATTTCACAAATCATTGAATTCGGTTACGTTGTTTCCGTCGGGTATTCAAGACCTGTTCCATCTTCTGATTTCGTCGCTCCGTTTGTGCTGGTCATCACATTGGTAAGATTTTTTTCGCCGCTTTCTTTTCGTTATCTAAATCAATATTTGCTGCTTCCTTACACCTTTGCCCAATTTGTTCTGCTGACAGGTCTTTAAAAGTTCATCAAATCGGGAAAAGGGTAAATAATGTTGTCGGGACGAAAATCATCCGTCGTCACAGGAAGTGTGGAAAATTGTAAAACTGTTTATCCCTATGTTTATGGTTTGCTGAATATTTTGTGGTAACATTTATCCATGTTTCCAGCTAAAATTTCCTTCAAATATGCATGTGTACTTTATTGTACTGCTTCAATTTTTTCGTGATCATCCTCATGTCGCTGCGGAATTTATTCCATTTTCACTTTATATGCTGAACAGGCATAATAAAATGTACGTCATTTCATTACTCCATTTACGAAAAGAAAAATGCCCGTCAATCGCAGTGGTATTTAGAGAAGACTTGTTTTAATTTTCTAATTTAAATTAATGAATTGTACCGTATTTACATCTACAGTATGTGGTGACATTTTAAAACTGTCTGTAGAATAAAATGAGGGCACAGACAAGGACGCTGAAAATATTGCGATAGATGCCGTGATGAAGTGGCGCTTAGTCCTGTTGATCGTAATATTCATCATTATTCTTTTATTATAGATTCTAGTAATGTTCCTCATCGTTGCTCAGAGACGAAGAGGGATACAATCGTCTGGTCCCTTGTTTATATTTTGGGTATTGCTTGCTGTAGCTGGAGCTCCAGCGTATAGAACATTTTTGCGTGGGTTGAGCACAATGGACGAGGACCGTCGTCTCTTTTCCTTCGTCATTTACATGGTGTACTACCCCTTGGTTTTGGTGTCCCTGTTGCTGAGCTGCTTTGCTGATGCAAGACCCGTCCGGTTGATCGATGCGTCTCAACCGGATAATGGTGACACGATGCGAGCCGAATGTCCTGAATATGGAGCGTCGTTTCTGTCGTGCATAACTTTTTCGTGGTTTGACAAAATGTCGTGGCGTGGATATCGTAATCCACTTACTATGGATGACTTATGGTCCCTGAATGAAGTTGACAAGTCGAAAAACATCGTCCCGATTTTCGATAAGCACTGGGATCGAGCGAGGAGGAAGGCTATTCTAAAAGCGTAAGTTCACGTTTCCAAAGTGCAATATTCGTTTTGGTCCCATTTGTATTACATTACTGTATATTTTTTCCCCGACGATCGAAGGAGGATTGTGTTGCCATCTTCAAATTTGGAGCCTTGGAGCTTTACTCTTCGAATTACAACGATAAAAGAAAGTTCTGATTGAGGAAAATGGGGCATTGTGTTCAAGTGGAAGAATCGAAGTAAAATTTCAGGCTAAAAGAATGTTGTAATATGGCTGGAATTTTCTCAGGAATTTCAAGTTCCTTAATTTTTGCTAAATGCCGGTTATGCTAAACTGAAGAAATTTCTTTGAAGATGTAACATCGCACTTGCAAAAGTATGTCATAGGCAGCTCCGTCTTTTTTTTTTCTTTCGAAAATTTATGGTAATTTGGGTTCTAAAATCGTACATCTCGAATTTACATTTTTGAAATGACTAACGGGCTGTATTTATATAAGTTTTGTGCTGGTTAATGTAGTGGTTGAAAACAGTTCCTTTTCTTTTGAGTATTTGCTTCTGTTGAAGTAGTTTTGGATTTTATATTAAATTAACATTCATTCAATAATTTATTGGGATTCATAATTGAAATTAGGAACGGATTGAGCAATTCAACGTAACTTCACATTACTGTACTTCAGTGTGGATTTTTCCAGGTTTGGCATGCACAGTAGCTTAATATTATTCGGCTATTACGTTTTTGAATAGTGTAATGGACTTTCCACTGGAACGTAACAAAGTAACAACATTTCGCGAGATATCGCTTTCAGTAGTTGTTTTTGTAATTCTTCTTATTGTGCTTTTCATTCAGGTGAGACAATGAATTGACGCCTGCTTTTATTGTCGCTTTTGCAATTCTTTGAGAGAAGACACTTTTTGCTATTTGACTATGGCGTATTCATTGACGTTTGAAATATGGTCTTATGTCGTTTTCCAGGTCAAAAAAACAATTATCCCAGAAGATCCGGAATCGTTCTGTTTCCATGCAGTACAAGGCTGAGGGCGTGGAAATCAAATCAAGCAAGAAGCTCTTGCCCGATAGTGATGGGACAAAAGATGCTGTTTTTGAAGATAAATCTGATGTAGCTGTGAAGAGCGAAGCTTCGATTTTGGGTCCAATTTGTAGAACATTTGGTCCAACTTTTGTTATGGGCTCAGTGTTGAAAGTAGCTCACGACTTGCTTGCCTTCGTCAGTCCACTGATTCTTGAGTGAGATTGAAAATAATGAGGCATTGTTAGCTTTGATTTCACATTTTGTTGCTATCAACAGGCAGTTGATCAAGTTTGTTGAGTCTGGAGAAGAACAATGGAAAGGGTTTTTCTACACGGGTATCATGGTAGTCGCTGCATGCCTTCAGTCGCTGGTGCTAGGACAATATTTCCACCGCATGTTCATTGTTGGGATGCGAGTACGAACTGCCGTGGTCTCAGCAGTTTACAGAAAAGCACTCAAATTGTCAAACGCTGCGAGAAAGGACTCTACTGTTGGCGAGATCGTTAATCTCATGAGTGTAGATGCTCAGAGATTCATGGATCTAACGACGTATCTCAACATGCTCTGGTCTGCTCCGCTTCAGATATGTCTTGCACTGTATTTTCTATGGTTGCAACTTGGTGAGCATTTCATGACTTTTTTGAAGCGTTTTTAAAGATTTGTACATATAAAAATCTTTGTAGTTGTTCTCGGAGAATTGAAAATGATGAACATAAACTTGAAAAATTTAGACTCAATCCTCAAGGTGAAAGGGCCGCGAAATGCTAGTTCAACCGGAAGAATATGAAGAAATCGAGAAAGTACTGTACTGTAATCGTGAAATGTTTCTTGTTCTGAAAATTCACAATGAATGATTTCAACAAGGCATTGCAAGAATGTTCTGCATTGAGATGTTTTCATAAAAATTTAGATACTATATTGTATCGTATTTTCATGTGTGTGGGAAGTGACGTAATGTAGGAAGACTATACGAAGAAATATTCAAATTTTCCTGTAGTCCAGGAAATTATGAACGATTTCTATGCTTTCAGGACCTTCTGTGCTGGCTGGTCTGGCAGTGATGATTATCCTTATTCCCGTCAACGGAGTCATTGCGAACTTGACGAAGAAACTGCAGATCAAGCAAATGAAAAATAAGGACGAACGGGTTAAACTGATGAATGAAATCCTGAACGGGATCAAGGTTTTGAAGCTGTACGCATGGGAACCGTCGTTTCAGAAATTTGTGGTGGACATTCGTGATAAGGAAATCGAAGTCCTCACTCAAGCTGCATATCTTAATGCTGGGACATCGTTCATATGGACGTGTGCTCCATTTCTGGTGTGTGCAGTTTTTCCGTGACTTGACGCTTCTTTTTTTATCGGAGACGAAACTGCATTTTGTCTTGACTATTCGCCGCTTCAGGTTTCGGTTGTCACCTTCGCGACTTATGTTCTGTCGGATCCAAACAATGTGCTTGATTCATCAAAAGCATTCGTGTCGCTGAGTTTGTTCAACATAATGAGGATGCCCATGTCAATGCTGCCGTTTTTGATCGTTGGCATGGTTCAGGTCAGTACATGCTTATTGAAAATGGAAGATCAAAAAGACTTTCTTCATTTGTGTTCTTCTATTCAACTTAGGCTGGTGTGTCTCTCAAGCGAATGAACAAGTTCATGAATGGCGAAGAATTGGATGAAAATGCTGTGACTAGGGAAATTACTTCAGGTAAATGCGGCTTCTGATAGTTTCATTGTTCAGTTGAAGTGAACACATTCTTTTATTGTATTCAGTATTTGCTACGTTTGTTCATATTTCCGTTGAAACTTTCTATAAAATAAAGCTCAGTCAAAATTTTCGATCCTCTCGTAGAAAATTAGCACCCCTCTGAGGGTAAATATTGAAGGAATGCATTTTGAAAGTGGTTAGCCGAAGATGCAATTTGAACTCGGGAATTCAACTTTAGCTTAGAAAATGACCACTGACTTTTATATTTCTTACGAAAAATTCCTTCATTTTATCGAAATTACGGTAGGTTCTTGGAAATTCTTGACATTTTTGAGTTTTAAAATTTTAAATCAAACTTTTAATTTTTTAATTCTACCCATGGGCAATTTCTAGACCTGTCTTCAGGTATTTTTTTTAGCTCTATAGCTGCTCTTATTCATTTTCCGTCACGCGTCTGATTCTGGATAATCTGCTCTTTTGTCACGAATCCACGGAAACATCTCGATTTTTTTCGGAAAAACGAATACCGGTATATGTATTTTTTGTTATTGTTAGACACTCCTTTGCTGATGGAGAACGCAACATTCAGCTGGGGCAGAGATGAAACGCCAATGCTACAGAACATCAGCTTGAGTTTGCCCGCTAAGAAGCTGATTGCAGTTGTTGGTCCTGTGGGTGCTGGAAAATCTTCTCTTATCTCTGCGTTTCTGGGTGAAATGGACCGAGGAGCCGGTCGTGTCAACATCAGTGGCAGTGTGGCATATGTCGCGCAGCAAGCCTGGATACAGAATGCCACATTGAAAGACAACATTCTTTTCGGGAAACCAGATAATGATCGATTGTATCGGAGAGTCGTGGATGGCTGTGCGTTGCGGTCGGATTTTCAGATTTTACCCGCCGGCGACCGGACAGAAATTGGCGAAAAAGTGAGTCGATGAAAGCAGTTGTACAGGACAGAGTGATCGCAACCACTGAGAAACCCACAATACATTAATGTTTCGAGGAGCTGTTAGCATTCCGTTATGACTTTTGGTTTCAATGGAAGGTGGGACAATTTAAAAAAGGTAACAAACTCGGATCGCTCGGATTGCACGCAGTGTTTGGCGCCTGAGAGAGGAAAGGGTATCTTTGGTGCTTTGGAACTAGAATTCGTGGCTGGTACTGGGAAAATGGGAGAGAATTATTGGCATCCTCAGGACAGCGCTCATTATCTGGCAAAATGTCGGAGTTGAGGAGGGAAGGGAAAATTGGATTGTGTCATTAGCATGAAAACGATTCTCGTCCCCAAATGGGCTTCAGTATTGAATTCGAATCCGTTTTGAGAAGAAAATTTTTTTTTCCTTAATTTTCTAGATGCTGAAAATTTGTTTGTTTTAAGGATGCTGCCAGGACTCCTCCTTTTCTCCTCACTCAGCCACCTTCCTTTTGCAGTAATTTCATAATGACTTGTTTGTAATTCATGTACAGTAGTTGTTCGAGTATATAATTTTCTGTGACTCTAATGTGGGAAAATCACCCTATTTTAAAAGCTTGACTGATTTATGAACTAATGAAATCCGTTGCGTTTTTTCGTAGGGTATCAATCTTAGTGGTGGGCAAAAGCAGCGAGTTAGTTTGGCAAGAGCCGCGTTTGCGGATTGTGACAACTACTTTCTCGATGACCCGTTGAGTGCAGTAGATTCACATGTGGGGAAGCACATTTTTGAGAAAGTGATCGGACCAAAAGGGCTTTTGCGAAACAAGGTTCGTAATTTTTGTTTCCGTCTATCTTGAAATAAATAAGTAATTCTTGGGGAATTGTTTCAGACGCGACTATGGGTCACGCATGGCATGGCTTTCTTACCTCAGACAGACCTGGTAGTTGTTATGAAGGACGGTCAGGTTTCAGAAATGGGAACCTATGATGAATTGCTGAAGAAGAAAGGCGGATTTGCTGATCTTGTCATTCAGTACCTCTCACAGGAAGTCACCGATGAGGATGATGTGGACGGTAGGTCTTCATCTCTTGGACATTTGATGAATTCCTCACGATGCATTCTGAAAAATGTATTTGCGCAGATTTGAAACAAAACCTTGAGGCGGCGCTTGGGAAAGAAACTGTCCTGAAGGAAATAAAGCGTCAGCGGTCGCGACTGTCCGAGTCAAGTTTTGGCGGCTCTCACAAACTGGGGTAATCACTTTTTGTTCAGTTATCACATTCTTTGTGTTGGAGGTCCTTGAATTTGATAGCGATGAATACAGTACTGTAACAGTATCGTTTGCTTCTTCGCTGAGAAAATCCTGTATCTATCCTTGTCTCTGGCCAAAATTAATTCCTGGAAGATCAGGCGCGGGTCGCTGGAACTTACGAAAAATAATCGAATTCAACCCAAATTGAGCGATTCAAACCCAACCGACATGAAACTAATGGATCGCAGCTGAAAATGTCGTTCACTGCACAGGCTTAAATCTAATAAAACTGAACGTTTAGATGACGTTTATCCAGTAACTAGGAAGCCCTCAGGTTTGAACACGTTAAGCGTTGAAGAAAAATAAAATATTTCTTGTTTGATAATCCAGTGCATAATCCCTCAAAGCCCAATTTCGTTGACAATAGACGAGATACAACAGCGACATCACTTAGTTGCCTTAGAAACCTTTTCTCATAAAGGCTTGACGCTTACGTTTCTGCTCCTTGTGTTAGCGGCAGACTGCTAAACTTGCTGTTCTGCGTTCAACCTGTCTTTTTGATTGAGAAGGAGCATTCGGAAACCGGCAAAGTTAAACTGTCTGTTTATGCGCATTACCTCAAGTCTATCGGCATTGTAATTTCGTCCGTGACGATTGCCTTATACGTGTTCTCGCAAATTTGTGCGGTCGGCTCTAACGTGTGGCTTTCATTCTGGGCAAACGACGCTCCACCAAATGGCACAACTTTGGATACTGGGAAACGAGATATGTACCTCGGCGTTTACGGGGCTTTGGGTCTCGGACAAGGTATGTAGCCTTTTTTGTGTGATTGGATTCGACAATGATTTAGAATTTGAAAGTGCTTTCATGAATGATAAAGTCCTTCGCCGTGCAAATTAGTCTCAATACTGTACGTAGATTTCCCCTTTGCTAAATTAACTAACAAGTTCTTCTCGTTTCAATACCCGATGTCCTGAAGTATGTGTCGCCTGCATTTTATTGCAACGTGTAAGTTTTGAAACAGATGCGTTAGATCAGTGTCTATTGAAATCTACGGATTGTAAAAAATTAGAGAAGTGGATCGCCTAATTTAAAATTTCAAAATAAATGCTCTCATGGAAATTTCAGTGACTCTCCGAAAAATATCTTGACGAATTGGGGGAACATATTTATACGCCAACAGTCTGGGATTGGTTTTTAATTCCGTTACCCGAGTCATTCATTTTCATGGAAGAAATCCCATTTTTTCCGCCTGAAAATTGAATGAACAAATTTTGGGGTTTCGATTTCCTTAAGATTGCGCCACATCGTCTAAAATGAATAATTTCAATTTTTCTATTCGAGAGGAAATTTTACGACACCTGAGAGTTAGAGTGTGACCCATTGTTCGTTCACGCATTCTCGTATTTCGTAAATATTTGAAAATGTTTCCTCATTTTCAAATTTGATTTTTCGCACCCCACGTGTGTTGGGTTTATTTTTCTGAAGGTTGTTGTGCTTCTGTTTCGTTCTTTTTCAGTCGAATTATTGTTAATTGCGACACCTGCCTGTTATTACAGAAAGTGAGGGTCGGGTATTGAAAGGGGAAAGAACTGGAAAAAAAAATTTTTTAGAAGCATAATTTGTACTGAACTCGAAGCTTGCGGATTGTGTCCGCAGCCCTGGCGATATTTTTTGGCTCGATGGCCATGGCGTTGGGAACGTTGGTTGCTTCCGCCAAGTTGCACAATGGAATGCTGTCCAACATTCTCAAAAGCCCAGATACTGGGAAACGAGATATGTACCTCGGCGTTTACGGGGCTTTGGGTCTCGGACAAGGTATGTAGCCTTTTTTGTGTGATTGGATTCGACAATGATTTAGAATTTGAAAGTGCTTTCATGAATGATGAAGTCCTTCGCCGTGCAAATTAGTCTCAATACTGTACGTAGATTTCCCCTTTGCTAAATTAACTATCAAGTTCTTCTCGTTTCAATACCCGATGTCCTGAAGTATGTGTCGCCTGCATTTTATTGCAACGTGTAAGTTTTGAAACAGATGCGTTAGATCAGTGTCTATTAAAATCTACGGATTGTCAAAAATTAGAGAAATATCATGTGGATCGCCTAATTTAAAATTTCAAAATAAATGCTCTCATGGAAATTTCAGTGACTCTCCGAAGAATATCTTGACGAAAAGGGGGAACATATTTATACCCCGACAGTCTGGGATTGGTTTTTAATTCCGTTACCCGATTCATTCATTTCCATGGAAAAAATCCCATTTTTCCCGCATGAAAATTGTATGAACAAATTTTGGGGTGTCGATTTCCGTATGATTGCGCCACATAGTCTAAAATGGATAATTTCAATTTTTCTATTCGACAAGAAATTTTACGACACCTGAGAGTTAGAGTGTGACCCATTGTTCGTTCACGCATTCTCATATTTCGTAAATATTTGAGACATTTTCCCTCATTTTCAAATTTGTTTTTTCTCACCCCACGTGTGTTGGGTTTATTTTTCTAAAGGTTGTTGTGCTTCTGTTTCGTTCTTTGTCAGTCGAATTATTGTTCATTGCGACACCTGCCTGTTATTACAGCAAGTGAGGGTCGGGTATTGAAAGGGGAAAGAACTGAAAAAAAAACTTTTTTGCAAGCATAATTTGTACTGAGCTCGAAGCTTGCGGATTGTGTCCGCAGCCCTGGCGATATTTTTTGGCTCGATGGCCATGGCGTTGGGAACGTTGGTTGCTTCCGCCAAGTTGCACAATGGAATGCTGTCCAACATTCTCAAAAGCCCCATGGGCTTTTTCGATACGACGCCCGTGGGGAGAATAGTCAATAGGTTCTCCAAGGATGTCGACACGCTAGACTTGATCATACCGATGAATTTGCGCTCTTGGCTCATCTGTTTTCTGCAGGTACCCATGTGTCCCGTGTGACTTCGTTAGTCTTCTCCCTGGTTTTGTTCACTTCGCTCCATCTTTTTCCTTCATCCCCCCCCAAAGTTTGAGATCCGTTAGTATCCATGAGTTTAGAAAATCGGAACCGCTGCGCTTAAGTACGAAGTTTGATGGGATGTTGTTTGATTCAATCAGTGCAAAGCGTTCAGGAAGGAACTTCTGTCGCAAAAGGTGATTCACGCGCTACCACAGTGGAGTCTTGTTAAAACGAAGCATTCAGGGCCTTGAAAAAGCTTTTGTTATAGTATAATCTAAAATTTGTTGAAGCAAAATTAATATTACATTCTGGTTATTGGGCAGGGACACAAGATTACTTAAAGCTAGATTTTTCAATGTTTCCGGGAAATATGATCATGGAACTCATGAAATTTTATCTTCGAACGAATATGGGACGGTGAGAAGCAAGCGGAAGAAATTTTGACAAAAGAGCAAAAACTGATACTTTGTGCCTGAAAAGGGTAAATGTGCACGGATTTAGCTTTTCTAATTGGCAGGGGAGAAATTAATCCTTACCAGACTCGACTGTCTCAATTCAACAAATAATTTTTGTTCTCGAGAATAAAAATGAAAAATTATTCTCTCCAAATTCCCGGATGCCAACCACAAGTCATGTGTACAAACTGATTTTGTTTTCCTTTTATTTCAAGCATTCGGCTCTTGAGGCCATCTTATACTCAGTCCCAGCTTCGTTTGGAACCATTATTTTCTTCGTGAATTTTTCGAAATGTTCAGGTTTCTTCATGTGTCGACTGTCGAGTAGCGCGTGGAACACCTCATTTTCTGTTTGATGCACGGATAGAATCGTGTTGTTGAATGTGTATGTGTTCGATGGGCTTTATGGAGTCGAAAACCGTTTTTGTATGTTCGGTGGGAAAAAAAGCTTTGGCGACAACGTTGGGATGGATGAGCTTGTCGGTCGGGACCTTGAAGGCAACGAATGCGTTACATAACAAGATGTTGTTGAGGATTCTGCAAGCGCCGCTGTCGTTTTTTGATTCCACCCCGGTTGGCCGAGTTGTGAATCGATTCTCCAAAGACGTGGAAACACTGGACAATCAGATGCGCCAAGTGCTAAGCAACTGGTTATCCTGTGTTTTTATGGTAATTTATTTCTTGCGGTTGGGAGGAAAAGGATATGGATTTTTTTGGCACTGGATGGTGATGGATTTATATCTAACACTGGGCGGGATCCCGCGTGAAGTCGATGATTTCCGCGCGGATGTTTCATGTGCGATTCTCTACAATTCTAGATCATCACGGGTTTGGCTCCACAATTTGATTCTTCCCTTTCAAAGGACTGAGCTTTCCAGTTGACAAAAAATTTCGAGATCTATTTCAACTACGAATAATTTCAGCTCTCTCTGATTCGATTTTCGGAATTTTTTTAAGCCTCGTTAAAAGCCGATTTTTTTTTAAATTCTAGCTATCATTAAAAAGGAAAAGATTATTTTTTTTTGTGCTACTATGAAGATTAATTTCTCAGTTTTGTTGAAAATCACGTCAAGTCGGACATTTACGTAGCATAAACAGAAACCTCGAATCATTTTTAGAAGCATGCTACATTAGAACTGCTGTGGCGTTTGAAAATTTAGTGATGATTCTCTACTGATAAGTGATCCAATTGGGTTTTATCCTGGTTGATTAATCCGGCGAAACTTACTGGAAATTCACGCTGATTGTGTGAATGAAACGAAGGAAGGATGGTAACATTGCTAAAAATCCCGTGGTTTTAAAACTAAAATTCAACATTGGTATCCATTTAGCACAGTTCTCGAAGAAATGTCAACTTATAACCTTCCTTCATGTTAGGTTATGTACAGTATTGTTTCTCTACCTGTAAATTTTGCCAAAACTAAATTGTTGCAGAGAACGTACCTTTTTGAATTTTTAGTCGTATTACTTCGTCCTGTTCTTCATCTATCAGTGATTACTTCTGAAAACCCCCTCATTAGCTTTCCCTCTAATTCACACTCGACCAGTTTATCAAACTCTGTCATGGAACCGAGTTTCACGAAGAAGTCTTCCTTATTTATTTGGAGAAAACATTGGTTTGGGATCTTCAAGTGACGGTATGGACATTTTTTTCGGTGCTGGATTTTTGAGCATCGAAAGCCAGTCTTGACGAGTAAAAATTTATTTTGAAATTTCCTTTGACCTTGGAGAATGTGTGACGTCATGATAAATTTTCATATACTGATGGATCCTTCTGCCAAGTTTCTCGGCGACCGAAAGCTAATGCATTTTTGAGTACATAGTTGATCTTATGTACAGCAGGTCTGTAGTGACCAGGAACAAAAATTCGTTGTTGGAAAGATTTCGCTGTTCTAAAGAGAGTTGACGAGCATTGGCTAAGTGTTTAAAGTTCGATTTCACTTATCGAAAATTCTTCGAGACTGCGAATGTTCTGCGCTTGTCTTGCTTCCTGATCAAGCGATGTACAGTAATTTCATTGAAGGTAATAATTTTGGCGGTGTTGAACCTTTGCAGCCGCTGTCAGCACATTGGGGATAGTGATGCTGTATTTAAGTTGCTTGAGAACGGCAAAGCGGCTCCACGCAGAACTTCTCGAACGAGTACTCAAGGCGCCGTTGAGGTTTTTTGAAACGCAGTCGATCGGGCGAATTCTAAGTCGTTTCTCCAAAGACACTGATGTCCTTGATGACGATCTTCCGTATTTCTTGGAAGACTGGCTCTTTTGCTTTGTTGAGGTTAGACTTTAGTTTTGTGAGGGTTGTTTGTTAATTTGTCAGAAAGGGGGAAAAAAAACATACGTGGGCTTTTGGTGGCGGGAGGGAAAGAGATTTACATATTATTTTGTAAATACATTTTGGTGGATGGATCTTTCTGAATGCATGTTGAGAAATACCCCTACTTTTTTTTTTTCAAGTTGCGCTTCTTCTCAATTTAGGCCTATCGCTTCACTCACGCCTTTGCCTCACTAATTCTTTACTATCATTTTATTATTTGGCTTACGGTGATGTTTCATTACGTGAGATTCATGCTAGTATTGGTGATGAAACAGGTGATCGCAACGTTGGCGGTCAACAGCTACAGCACTCCGATTTTCTTGGTGGTCATCGTCCCGGTTGGAGCCTTTTATTATTTCATTCAGGTTTGTCCTTTTTTCGAAGACTCCTGAACCCTTCCTACGGCGATACTCTCAAGACCTGAATATTCTTTTTTTTTTTTTTTCTGTGTAGAACATTTCTTTGAAGATGAGCCACTTCAGTGGTAAAATAGACGGGCTGTCGGGGGCTAGACAAAGTTCGTTATGTATAGATTATACGTTGGAAGATGTGGGGAAAACTGAAGTGTAAAAAATTAGTCGACTGGAAAAATGGGAAAATTCAGAGCTTTCCCCTCGCCAAATTTTACGCTTTCTTTGACACATGGACGTCTACAACTTGCATTTCCAAGCGGATCCCGGTCCTCTGAAAATTGTACAATTATCATCCAGTACTGGACTCAAGGTCATCAGAAGAAATTAGTAGAAGGACCTCCTTAATTAAAATTGATATTCAGTTGCTGTTTGGTCTCTGCGGTTATTTAGGAAAATGTATCTGTTTTCGGGAAAATTCTTGAAAATGAACCATGACGCCTAATTTGAAATTAAAATATTTTCCCGTCTGCCCCAGGCTGTTGAACTATTTTCTTATCAAATTTTCTTCCTTCATAATTTTAGAAACTTGACCATATACCAGATCCATTTTTCTTCTAATGCATGCATTTACTATCTTATATTCAGAGATTCTATGTCGCAACATCGAGGCAGTTGAAGAGGCTGGAATCCGTGAGCAGATCACCGATTTATTCGCACTTCGGAGAAACAGTTACAGGAGTATCAACCATTCGGGCCTACGGGAAACAAGGGCAGTTTACTCTGGAATCTGAATTGCGAGTCGACGAAAATCAGGTTTGCCGTTTCACTCAATGATGTTGTATAATCTAAAATCCGTGACCTCATATTTTGAACGACAAAGCATTAATAAAGAGGATAGTTTCCAAGTCTAGGAGTGAAAGGATTATTATTAATTCGTATTCCATCGAATCGTAAAAATTCGAAAGAATATGGATTGCAACGAAAATTTTACATGCTGAGGCATCCGTTCAACAATTGAATGTGGTTTGTTTGTTTCTTCTCGAAAACTTTTGACCTCATTTTTTTCAAAGACGAAGTATTGATGAAGAACATCGATGCCGACCATGGAAGTAAAACTTTATTAACTTGTATTCCACCAAATAAAAAATAATAATTCGAAAGATTGTGAATCGCAACGGAACTGTCAGATGCCGGGGCATTTTTGAAGTTTCACGACTGAAGGTGTGGGGTTTTTTTTTTCTTTCTCGAAGATTTTGACCTTATTTAAAAAGCAGTCATTGATAAACAGCATCGATTCCAAGCCTGGAAATAAAACATTATTCACTAGTATTTCCACCGAATTTTAAAAAAATTTCGTGAGACTGAATTGCAGCAAAAATGTCAGATGCCGAGGCATTCGTGAATTTGTATGACTGAAGGAGTGTATGGTTTTTTTTTTTCAGATTTGCTACTATCCCAGCATTGTATCGAACCGTTGGTTGGCGATCAGGCTGGAATTCGTCGGAACCTTGATAGTGCTGTTTGCATCCCTGTTCGCCGTTCTGGGTCGTGATTCAATGTCACCTGGTCTCGTCGGCCTGTCCGTCTCCTACGCCATGTCAGTTACGCAAACCCTCAACTGGCTCGTGCGCATGACGTCTGATGTGGAAACCAACATAGTTGCCGTGGAACGTATCAAGGAGTACTGTGAAACCCCGACGGAAGCCAGTTGGGAAACACCTGCCGGAGAAACCAAGCCACCTGCTAATTGGCCGGACAATGGCACGATCGTGTTCGACTCGTATTCAACCCGGTATCGCGAAGGTCTATCGCTCGTGCTCAAGGAAATTTCGGCGGACATTAAAGGCGGTGAAAAAGTCGGGATCGTTGGAAGAACGGGTGCTGGAAAGTCTTCCCTGACCCTGGCCTTGTTCAGAATTGTGGAGGCGGTCAAGGGCAGGATTTTGATTGACGGTGTGGATATTAGCCGGATCGGACTGCATGATTTGCGGTCGAGATTGACGATCATCCCGCAGGATCCCGTATTGTTTTCTGGGGATCTGAGGATGAATTTGGATCCCTTCAAGGCCAACTCTGACGAAGAAGTGTGGCGCGCCTTGGAACACGCGCATCTGAAACCTTATGTGCAAAAGGTTGGCTTGGATTACGTCGTGTCCGAAGGCGGAGAAAATTTGAGGTGATTTGATTGGTTTTTGAATTGGCGTCCTTGCGGAAGTTGATATCGCTGCTCACATATTCCGTTTTTTTTTCGAAGTGATTATCTTAGTCAGGGTTGATTCAATTTTAAATTAAATTCAGGTCGAAAAAAACTTTACCTAATTCCTGGTGTCTAATGAAAAAATTGTAAGTCACAACGCAGAACACGATTGCACAACTGGACTTGTGCAACTTGAATGTAATTTTACAGCTGGGCTGATGATTTCATTATCATTTACCATGGCATCTTTTACGCGGAAGATTTTCAAATTATTATTTTTTGGATAAAATTGATGCAAATTCAGAGACAATTCGTGTGTCTTGTTCTATGTAAAAGTACATGATACAATATTTTGACGTAATTTGAAAACCGGAATGTTGCAGTGTTGGTCAACGGCAACTTATTTGTCTCGCGAGAGCATTGCTGAGACATACCAAGATTCTGGTGCTTGATGAAGCAACTGCAGCGGTTGACATGGAAACAGACGATTTGATTCAGAAAACAATCAGAGAAGAATTCAAAGACGCGACGGTGGTCACCATTGCGCACAGATTGAACACTATCATGGACTACGATCGGTGAGTTTCTAAGACGAAAGTTTTTCTTTAATGCTAATCTTTCAAATCACGGGTCTTCCAATTTCGTCTATCGTAGTGTGATCGTGCTGGATCAGGGTGAAGTGAAAGAATTCGGAAGTCCGGATGAACTGAAAAGCAAGAAAGATACGACATTCTACTCCATGGCCAAAGATGCTGGACTTGTCTAAAATTGCCGTCCCACATTTTTGTTGTTGTCAATTCCTCACGGCGTTGTACTTTAGGTTGTGTCAATCGTGTTTTTTTTTCTTTTGTTTCCGGGTTGTTGGGGGAAGCGATACGTATTTGAGTAGAAACAGTTCACTACTTCCAGTATTGCAAGATAGTCGCAGGGAAGCTTTTTATTTGTATTTTGCTGCTCTGAAGACTGGCTTTTCCAGATTCGGGCGTTTTTGAATCGTGTGCAATTTGTCGAGGGTTGTGTTCGTTGTTGTCTCGGGTGTCAATCGTTGATCTTGTTACTCGGCTCGAATACTTGAAGCAATGTCCATTGCGACTTTTCTCCGAAACTTTGTGTCCACCCACGACTGGGTCAAAGTCTGCAACCGTGGAAAAGTGCGAAGAGAAGTTGTGATAGTATTTGCGATTTAGCGTCCCAAAGATTGGTTGGGTATAGTATTACTGGTCTCTTTGGTACTCGTAGGAACAATTGTTGTCCCGATGAACCCCCACCTTGTATTTATGAACAAACGTTGTTCGTATGTCCTCGAAAGTGTCGAGACTGCGCGTTCAGTTGGGTGATGACTTCATGTCGGAAACGAAAAAGAAAAAGCTTTTTTTGTTCGTTGTTCGTTTGAACAAAGCTTGATTTCAGCAGAAAGGGTTCGGTGCTTGTGAACCTGTGAGCTATCCAACGCTGTGAACGATTGATGAAGGAAAAATTCGGGTTCGATCGCTACTCTGTGTTTTTTTTTTTTTTCGTGCGTTGTAGGGAGAACACGCTTTAGGTGGGAATAGTTTTATGTGCGTTGGCCGGTCAATTCGTCCTCCCCAGGTTGCATTTTTGTGACTCGATTGGGGCATTTTGATCGCTTTTTTTTTTCTTTTGAGCGGGAAGCTACCTTTTTTATTTTGTCGATTGTGAAAACGCGAAACGGTGGAAGAGCAAACACAGTGCCTTTTGAAATGCGTCTTAGCGTTATTCGTAGCCAAAAAATAAAAAGGAAATCAGTGTTCCCTCAACGAACTACCAAAAATTCGCACGTCCTTTTCTTGGGAAAATGGGTTTCTGCATTTTGATCTCACCCTTGATTGGTGTATTTTGTGTTGAAAAAAAAATCTCCAGTTCATTGACTCTCTCACAGTGGACCAAAAAGCTGAACAATTCTGAAAGTGGAGGTACAGTATTTACGTTGATGCACATTCAGCATAAGTTTTTTTTTGGCAAATCTGGCAGGAAGTCGATGCTAGAATACCACTACAAAAAAGATCCGTTTTTGCCTGGAAATTCCAAATCATGGATAATATACAGTACCTTAAACAAGCGAACAGTTGTTTAATTATACTTAATCTTGGAAGTTCAGGCTGAAAAAATATATCAAACGGAATTTAATCATCTGCTTGATGTATTTGCCCATTTCAAGGTACTGTACTGCATATATTTTCATTTCAATGACCAGCACTTCACTGCTCAGTGAAGGAGTACTCAATTGTGAGTTTTTCCTATTACCAGAAATTAATCAAAGTAAATACTGTACTTATATAGTCAAATTGAATGATACGGAAGTTCGGCTCCTGGAAATTAAATAAAGTGAATCTCAATGCTACTCCAAACATGCACAAATTCCGTGTATTCACATTTTTCTTGAGTCTCCTAACTGGAAAGGTTGAATACATCTTTTCAAGTCGGGAGAATTATAAACAGCGACGAATAATTCAATTCAATAAAATGAGGTGTAAACGAAACAGAACAATGATGAAGGGTAAATTTCCTTCATTGCGATCAAATTTCAAGTTAGATGTGGAAACGATGAGCGGCATACTGTTCAATACATTGTACTACAGGTATAATTGGATTTAAGCAACATAATATTCCTTCAGATGATCAGATCGACTTGAATTTCCTACAGAAATTAAACTTGATAAGTAACGTGTGAATCCTTGGACGGTCCTCACATTTTCAAATTGAAATTGCATAATCTGAAGATCAACCGAAAATTTATCGTATCAGCCATTGTATTAAAATATAGCTAAGGTCATTAGGTCAATGTCGGTTATATTGCATGATGGGGTCCAAGGTTAAAATTTTTCAATATCATGTTTTTAGGGGGCTTATAATTAATGCCAATAATCTCGAATGTGAAAGCAGATCTTAGTCATGAATTCATGATTACCAAGAAGATTCCGCGGTTTCTGCAAGTCATTGCAAATTTTTCTCTTCTTATTCAAAGATCCCTGGGGTCTTGCAGATGACTGACGCCTGAGTTGCACGCACTGTACTGTATACACTATACAGTACTGTATATATGTACTCATTATTTCAGCACAAAGATACTTCACACAGAATCCACACGCTACCCCAATAAGTTCATGTGACTGATATCGCACAGTTTCACTGAAGCGTCGATAAGTTTGACAGTATGCAAGTGAGACCCCAAGATGAGGATGTAATTGGTGCATCAAGAGTGTCCCTTATCCCTTAGACTTATATTATATAATTTTTAATTGATGTTTTATGGACAAAATACTCAACATAATTCCATGCAAATAAAAATTGCCCTCCAATTTAAACTGATTCAATCAATATATTTCAAGACAATATGGACATTTGGAGAATTGAATACTGATACCTCTGTACAGTACATAGAAAAGTTGGCATTCTCTGTAAAAATAACATTCAAGTGAAAAAGAGAGAAGGAAGTCCCTCTCTGCTGGAGGTAATTTTTTTAAATAAGCTAAATGGATGGTAAACTGGTGAGAGAAATGCTCAAGAACTATTCTTGCATCAATTTTAGGGTTGGGAATATCTATTTTTTTGTAATTTGGCCTGAAATGTATTTGCAATTTTTTATAACAAAATGTCCCTATGTAGATCGAGTCAGTGTCCTCATGTCGGGCCTTTTTTATTAATTTTTTATGGTAAAATAATTGTCCCTATGTTGAATTGTCCACATGTTGAGGTGTCCGCATGTGGGGGTCTCACTATACTCTTGCCCAACACCTTGTATAGAAATGTAGAAAGGGAGTATATACGCAGTATAGGACGAAGGGGTTTCTCGCAAAAGGAGGGGGGATAAGGAGACAGAAAACAGGAAGGTCTTTTGTTATTATGACTTAACGTCCCTTTTGTTCCTCGCTTGTTCATGTCCAGGAATATCCCGGAAGATTCCCACAGTATAAGAAAGCGACCCGAGTCAGATACATTTTTCAGCAGCGTGACACCGCGACGTAATGAGCAATTGGAGGTGGCAACCGACGTCGCGTTTTCTCGCTATTTTTGGCAGGATGTGTCACCTGACATCTTACCTTTACTTTTCAGACGTTTTCTTTCCTTTCAGGGGTGTTCAACCTGTTTCCGAGGTGAGGATCGGATGTATAGTAGAATACTGTACATCACAAAAATTTTAAAAACAAAAAAAAACGCTCAGAAGACAGCACTTGTGTTTAATAGTTACTGTATTATTGAACTGTCGAACATCCAGAACATACGAACGGTTTTTTAAATTGCGAATTTTGTTTTGAAGAATTCTTGAATGATGCTTTTAACAATCTTGAATAAAGCGCTGACAGTTGACAATTTTTGATTTATGCCCTGATGTGATAGATTATTCTATTAAAAAATCTTCTGGATCATGCTTCAACGACTACATTTTGAATTATTCGTTGATAACATCTTGAATGATGCTTTCGTGTATTTAATCTTAAATAATGCGTTGATGCCTGACAATTTTTTTTAATTATGCTTCGAAATCTTCGATTATGTTTTGACAACATCATGAATTATGTATGCTTCAGCAGCATTTTAAAGTATTATTTTACGACAGTTTGAATTTTGCTCAGGACATATTTGGAATGATGCCTCAAGAAAATTTGAAATAATATGCTTTGGAAAAATCCTGAATCATGCTCCAGAAAATCATGAATTTTGCCTTGAAAATATTTCTAAAAAGCATCCCGAATGCTGTTTCTCGAGAGCGCTGGATATTTTCATTGTTGTCATATTGCCTCATATTTTTTAAAATCTTTAATGTGCAAAACCGGGCAAAAATCACCCTATATGATATGTGACCCACAACAGAGAAGATGAAAATTTCAGTTTCAATCTGCGACTCCATTAAAAAAAATATTTAGAAAAACAGTCACTTCTCATACGCACAGTTTAATTATAGTCTCAACCTAAAGTTGCATCGATGCTAATAAGTCAAAATTTGCGTCAGCTAAAGTTTGTTCCTTAAAAAAAATCCATTATCCTCTTATGAGCGAGATCATCTTTCATATTGTACAATTTTTGTGAAGAAGAAGAAAATGAGGCTTTCTTCAAACAAAACAGAAAGGGTTTGACACCCCCGCTTCGAATGACGAGTGTGAGTATGACGCGTGCTTTCCCTTTGAGCACGGGTTATCCCCTCCTGTGTATATGGGTGTAAGAATCGCGTTGAAAAACGTTTCCTACTTTTCCCTGCCCCGCGGGGTTCCGCAGTGCTGAAGAAACTGTCGCAACGATTCTTTGTCACAGTTCATCTTTCTCTCCTAACCCCCCCTCCCTTCTGTGGAATGCGTCTTGTCGCATTCTTGGGTCTTTTGCTCGGTTGACAATCATTAACGTCTGTGTGAGTATATATCCCCTCTTTTTGTTGCTTTGAACGTATTCTTAATTTTTTTGCGAATTTTTTTTTGTCGCAGTCCTATTCGGATTGTACACAGTACAGTGATGTATACAGTACTCTATACTGTAAATGATATGAACCGCTAACAATTCAAGGAAATTGTGAAAGAATTGATTATGTTGTATGAAATGAAAAAAAAACTTCTGGTTTTATTTATTTGTCCTTACGTTTGTCCATTTGTCTTGGGGACAACAGTCAGTCAACACAACAGAAGGATGAATTAAAAACTAATAATATAAAAACATTTAATATATAAAAAGGGTGGAAATAAATTAAGTACATTATTTATGCTTCAGATGCGTATAGTGTAATTAAAATCGAAAAAAATACTGTACTGGCTGTGGATCAAGAAAATTAGAAATAGAAACACAGAATCAGCCTGGGACAAGGCTGGGGATTCTTGGTAGAATCCCCTGCTTTAATTTTAAACTGTACTTCAGATGATTGTCCCA